AGATCGCAAAAGAAATTTGGGATAAGCTTATAGTGACTCATGAGGGAACCGAACAAGTTAAAGAATCTAGAGTCAGTTTGCTAGTCCATAATTATGAACTTTTTAAAATGAAGCCTGATGAAATTATTCCTCAAATGTTTACTCGCTTTACTAATATTATTAATGGTTTAACTTCTCTTAGCAAAATATATACTAATGCTAAAATTGTAAGAAAAACGCTTAGGTCATTGCCAAAAAGTTGGGAGACAAAAGTCATTGCCATTACCGAAGCTAAGGATTTATTAAAGCTAAGTCTAGATGAGTTAATGGGATCTCACTTAACTCATGAGCTTATAATGCAAGAAGGAAAAGAAGAGGAGGACAACAACAAGAAGAAAGGAATAGCCTTCAAATCCACCTTGAAACATCAAGAGAATAAGGAAGATGATTCAGATGAGGATAAGAAAATGACATTTATCACTAGAAAGTTCCAAAGGTTTGAGAGAAAGTAACAAGGCGTATGAAATTTTTTTAGAAAAGATTTCAATAATAGGGATTTTCAAAGGGGAGAAAATCACAAAAAATCTGAAGTTACCTGCTACGAATGCAATAAACATGGACACTATAAATCAGAATGTCCAAAACTTAAGAAACAATTCAACGAAGACAAGAAAAAAAGCATGATTGCAGCATGGAGAGAAGATAGCGATGAAAGCGACTCAGAAACCAAAGTTTGCAAAAAATGAGGTTACTAACCTATTAATGGCACTTGGAAACGAAGATGAGGTAAATGAAGAATCTTTTACATTTGATGAATTACAATCAGTTTTTGATGAATTACATGCTAAATTTAAGAAACTTAGTTTGAAAAGTAACTATCAGAAGAAAGTGATTTCAAGTTTATCAAAAGAAAGGGGTATATACATACATACACATTTGATATAATATAAAAAGAAATGGTTGCAAAATTGCAGCATATTTCACATGTTGAAGTTTGAAATTGAAATGTTGTAGCTACATCTTTATATAAATTAATGTGGACTTTGCAGGCACATTTTTTTTCACCTCATTTCTTTATATATATATACACAATATACATTAGTCAAAACCCACATGTTAGTAAGTTTTGTTAAATTTTCAGCCAGAATGTTTGACAAAGGAAAGGGTGCCACATAATGAAAAGTTGAAAACAAATAGATGCCTCATGATTTGTCAAAGGAGCGTTTGCCTCTCCAACGGATATATTTTTGGGTATAAATAAAAATGTTTTTGTGTGAAGAAAAATCAAGAACTTGAAGAGAAAAATCTGTGTGCTCCAAAATTTTGAGTGTATTATATTCTGCTCTTTTACTTTCAAATCTAAGTGTAGTCTTTATTCTTACACTTTCATATGTACTCTTTGTGAGAAAATTATTGTAAAAGATGATTACCTCAAAGTTGATTGTGCAGTTGGGCAATGATTAGATTTGTTTATATTCTATGCTTATTTAAAAACATACTTCATCATTTCTCATTTTCACTGTGTTTGATTAATATGCAGGTTGATAAATTAAAAATTTTATCAGAATCGCTTGCTAACTCTGCTTCAAAAGCTAAAAGCCATATTTCAAACCACAAGTTATTAGCTTTACCTATCTTTATTTGTTTTTGTATAGTAGTGCACCTCTTCCAAGAATGCGTACCACACCTCGAAATAGTTCTTTCTTCCTTGACATATGAAAAGAAAGAGCTGGGAGGTAGATTACTGTTGTGGTCTTATTAGCTACATGCCTACAGAGATTTACCTGAAAGATGCATTTACATTTTTCAAGGCTATTAGACATGTTCTTCAATTAGTGCAATTTTTTACAACTCTAAGAAACAAAAAATAGAAATCTAAATTTCTCAGGGATAGCTTGGAGGTTTTTCTGACATCTAATTTTATTGGCTGATGTTATGGATTACAAACATCTAATTCCCTCCTTTCCCAAAAGAAGATGAAAAAAGAAAAGAAAAGAAAAGAAAAGAAAGGACATTGGACATTAAGCGGTGGTTGCTACTTACTCATTCTTCAGTTTGGGGATCAATAATCATTACTTATGCCTGTGTGGTGGTATTGGATTCTATACCTATCTTCCCCAATTACGGGTTAGTGTTTTGATTCAAATAGGACCACTGCATATTTTGTCCATTTCACAATGTGGAGCTAATATGTTTTTTTGTCTTCATCAGGACAATATACCATCTGGCAAAGTCACCTGCATATTGGCTCTCCGTCTTGGTTATAATAGTCTTAGCATTACTCCCTCGCTTTATTTGGAAAGTTATACATTAAAATTTTTGGCCTTCAGATATCCAGATAGCTAGAGAAGCTGAGATACTGAGAAAAGAACCTAATTATTTTGGGTCTAAGCCAGATCTAGGTTCCAGTTAATATGTATATTATTAACTGATCCAATTTGCTATGACCTGGCCAGAGTTTGTCCAGCCAAATGTGAAATTTAATGGTAAGTTCAGTTTCATTTATACATCTATTCCTTTTCTGTTTCATTCAGGGTACCTTCCTTGCTCTCTGTCTCTGTGGTTGGAGAAAAATAATTCTCACCTATGGGCATGAGCTTTCTCGAACAGTAACTAGCCATATGTTAAACCCCATGGTCAACCCATTTTCTCACTTTCATCATCATCATCTTTCTCTTTAATTGAATTCTGCACTTGTGTGTACATATCATGTTAAATATGTAAATGTCTAATTAGTATACCTTGTTAAAAGAAATATGTACTTGTGTATACATATATATATATTAGCATTTGGGCCCATGCAATGCGTAGCAATTCATTTTGGTCCTCTTTTTTTTTGTTGTAAAATTCATAATATGAATTTCTGTTTCTGTTTAAATAGAGATATGGTTGAGGGTAGGCAGTTGAAACTGTCATGATTTTTCTCTGAACTTCGGTGGCAACTTGATATTTACATGTTTATCCCTTTTATGATGAAAAGCACAGACATATGGCATGGTTTTTCTGGACAAAGAGGTAGCGTGACGGACCTTAAAATATGTGTTCACATTATATTATATAATAATATAAATAGTATAGATGTATGTATTGTAAGTTCAAGGAAACTTATACCATGAGAAATAACACACAGATTTCATGATAAAATGGGCAGTTCAGAGATCAGTCCTTATGTAATAGATATGCCTCCTGCTTCCTCCGTAGTGTGGAAGCAGTCACATTTAGCTGGACCCATTTTAATGATTTTTATTTTGCCCTGCAGTTCATATGAAAGTGACACAAGCTGACATCATTCCAATTGGATTTAGCATTTAAAATGACACAAAGGGAAGAGAGGGAAGTGCAGATCCGAGGGGGAATGCAGAGCCGAAGGGAGGGTGAGGATTTGGTTGATACTAATGATAAGATGGTCTGGTCGGGGAGGAAAAATGGGGGGAAGAGTGGGATAGAGTTCTTTTAGGATTTTGTTGATATTTGTGGGGTTTACTATTGGAACTAGCATATAAGCAGAATCTGTAGTCGGAATTTCATCAAGGTAAATGTCAGGAGTACCAGTAGAGAAAAACAAAAGTATTATAATAGTTTCAATTAGGATGAATTGATAGAGACTAACTAGTTACTTCATGGATGCCTATTGTACTTTCAATTGTGCCTAAGTCCCTTATTGTTATCATGGCATCCATCAGGCAGTCTTCCTACCACATCATGTAGCGGTAATACATCACATGGCTCAGTTTCAGCTGGTACGTATAAGTTTTTGACTTTTTAGTAGTATTTGTAAAGTATACTTCAATTGAAATCAAATGGACATGACTATCACAATTTATTTGTTTATTTGTTTGAGAGAGAGACTATTTTGTATAGTTTGTGCTTATAATTATGCTGAAAAAAATTATTATTTAGAAACTACGGAAAATGTGCTTTAAATTTCTGCTTTTTGATTATTAAATTTTAGTTTAAGAAAAGGAATATCAAATTTGCTGCACATTGGCATCCAACTAGACAAATTTGGCTGCAATTGTCTAGACAAGTATAAAAAATAAGCTAACTCTACACAGTCCTGGTCATAGTCCTTCCCATTCTTAAAACAAAAACACAAAAACAAACAAACACAAAAACAAACAAGCTTGTCTACAATCATAGAAGAGATTAGATTTTGAAAACACCTTATTACTTTGAATTCAATTTACTTTAAACTCCTGAATTAGGAATTTGTAAAGAAGAGTTAGGAATTTGTAAAGAAGAGTTTTATGCAGAACTTGTAATTACATGAATTAGGAAACCAACAAGCTTTCAATAATGGGTGCCTCACTCAATTCAAAGTATCAAAGCATAATTTAAGTTATATGACACCAACATTGTATCCTATTCTTGAATTTAAGTTTTCATGAATAGCTTGTCTGTCGGGCCTTAATAGGTTCCTCCTAGGGTTTTAACAAAAAGGCTAAATGCAGTCTTTAGGGCTAAATGCAGTAACATCTCAAACACCTCTTGAAATTTAAACCATGTGTATAGTTTGTGCCATTGGCATTACAAACATGAACCAATAGACCACTCAACACCAATAATGTATTATAACAGATTATTAACATATTATATTTCCTAGAGATGAATAAAAAACATCTAGCAGATGATGAGTTGGAGAGCAAAGCATTACAGAGAACTGATTGGCCATGATAGGAGAAGTGTCACAAGTACCAGGAATAATTTGCCAATGCTTGAACTCTCCTCTAAAACCTCTTGATATGCTGCCACTCCTGTAACATCAAAAGGATTTGAGCCCCATCAAATGCATAGAAATTTTACAGAAACTAGTGGGGCGACACTCATTACATGAGTGCAAGTGCCACAAAGAACCACTAAGTTAGCCAATTTTTGAACAGTAGTGCATGGAGAGAGAGAAAGAGGTGTACTAAGTAGCCTCTTAATTAGGAAAGAGAATTTTTAAAACTAACTGGGAGTTCTAGGCAGTTGTGGGGAGTTCTTTAGAATAATGTGTTTACTTGAACATTTACCCTCAAATGAATATAGAAGTAAAAGGATTTTAATAATGCATAATTTAATTTTCTTTGGATAGTTTAGGGAAATGAAAAATATACTCAAAATTAGTGTTCTACTTTTATATATTAGCAAAGATGACATGCTTGACAACTGAAGTAAAAACAAAACTAAAGCTATTAAAAGTACACATGATGATAATATATATGCATCAATTATGAAGTGCACAATGCTCTAATGGAGATGCCATTAAAGTTGCTGCATGTTGACATTGCTAATATTGGTGCCAAATTTAGTACAAGTCTTGGCAGATTGTTAGATTTTGGAATTGCTATCAACGGTTAGATGCATTTTCTATTGTTTATGATTACTGATATCAACTTCTCTCTCTCTCTCTCTCTCTCCCCCAAATTGTATACGTGTTTTTAAGTTCAGGGAACAACAGAGATAAATGGAAAAAGTGCATTGGAGACAAAGTTGGAGAGGCTGGATTACAAGTTAACAAAACTCATATTCCTAATATAATTGCAGAGACGCATTGCATAGAGAGGGGCATCCAATTTTGGTGAACTAGGTTGATATGGTAGGAAAATGATTTGTATGTGAATGTGGTTATTGTGAATGAGAATAAGAATATCAAGTTGGTTCAAATGTCCAGATTTGTATTTTGGTGAACTCAGATTCCTATTTTGGCTCAAATAGAGGGACATCCAATTTTGGTGACTCCTTAATGTAATTCAAACGATTTGTGTGTGAATGTTTTTTTTTTTTTTTTGGTGACCAATGATTGTGGACTATCATTTGATAAGATTTTACTATGTGAATGGGAGTTATTATTTCATATTAGTGTTATTTTTCAGTTTTATTATAGGTTTTTTTTTGGTTCAATAACCTAAAATTAGCACAATTAAAAAAAGAAAAAAAAAAGGCTATCACGGCGTTTGTAAAAACGTCGTTAAATAGATATACGACGGCGTTTTAAAAACATCACTAAATAGCATGGTGACGTCATGTTACCGTTAGTAGAACTTTTAGCGGCGTTTTATAAAAACGCCGCCTATAGTCAGATAGCGACGCTTCTAAAGTGCCACAGAGTTATAGCGACGGCCGCATCTTCGGCGTTTGGTGCTAAACGTCACGAAAAGATTTAACAGCGCTTTTAGGACCTATGGCGGCGTTTTTTAAACGCCTCTAAAACCTGAATTTCCAGTAGTGTTTTGGTCTACCTTGCTATATCAACTGAGGATTATTGTTAATTTTAATTGGATGCAATCCATTTATAAATTTGGTCAAATTTAAATAAATTTTAAATTGGTGCAATTGAATAGATTCATGTGGTTTCTGATTAATTTGTCACCTCTATTAGAAAAAAAACCATAGAAGACACCCATGGAATTTTTTTTATGGAAAAATCTAACCACTATTCAATCAAATGAATTATAAAAAAAAAAAAAAAAATCAAAACTCATATATTTTTCAAAAAAAAGAGTCATTAATTAATTGAAGAAGGTGGATATAGTTAGGATGACCTGTAAGATTTATTATTTTTTTTAATTCTTTCTCGAACCATGAGGGGCTTGGACACCATTCAGTGTATTTGGTTTGAGTTTTATGAATTAAGTTTTTTGAAAATTGAGTTTTTTGGTTTTCGTGTTTTTTTGTTTTTGTTTTTAGTGAATGTTTTTTAAATTTTAAACAATTTTTTTACTTTTTTAGATGCACCTTACTTAGATGTATCTAAAAAGTAAAAAATTTGTGAAAAAATTAATAAATACATAAAAATACAAAAAATGTATTGAATTCTCGTATTTTTTTTTTTGTATTTTTGGTATTTAGTGAATTTTTAAAAGGTTTTTTTCATTTTTTTTTTACTTTTTAGGTATATATATGTTAGGTATGTCTAAAAATTAAAAAAATTGCTCAAAATATTAAAAAAAATCAGTAAAAACAAAAAAACACGAAAAATAAAAAAGTGGACACCCGTTCTGAAAAGTGTTTTTGAAAAATGATAACCAAGCATGCTGATTCAATTTCATAATTTGCAACATAAGTTTGACCGATTGATACCCACCCATGACCCATATCGGAAAGCTACAAGAATATCAGTTGAAATATCCCCAGAGTGTCTCCCCTTCCTAGGATTGCAAATAAATAGAACCGTTCGTGAATAGATTTGAATTTGGCTCAATAAGACACTACAAGAAATTAGTCTTTTAGAGACTAATGTTTAGAGACTAACTAAATTTGGTTTCTAAAAATAATTTTTTAGGGACAAATTTAAACATATGATAATTTACTTATAAGATTGTAAAAATAACTATTAATATTCTCACTTAATATTTACATAATTTTTTTAGACCAATAAATTTGGTTGCTAATATATTATTATCATCTTTAGGGACCAAATATTTTCGTCACTATCAATTAAAAACAATTTGAGACCAAATATTTTTATCATTTTAACGATTAAAAAGTCAAGACCTCACTTCAGCCCTAACTTGTTCATTCTCTCTTCAACGGGTTTGCTCAATCTTCAGCCCTAAAGTTGGGAGCTCCAAGGCAGATTGGGAGCTCAATCTTCTTCAAATTTTGGTCTCTCTCTCTCTCTCTCTCTCTCTCTCTCTCTCTCTCTCTCTCTCTCCGTAATCGATCTCCGTAATCAACCTGTAAGAGCTCCAATTCGAACTTTCAATTTCTGATCGTAATCGATCTCCGTAATTGACCTGTAAGAGCTCTAATTCGAACTTTCAATTTCTTATTATTTCATAGATTGAACTTTTTTTGTATATATATATATCTTAATGTGTGTTGGAATTGAAGAATTCTTTACATAGATTGAATTTGTGTGTGTGTATATATGTATATCTAATGTAATGCGTGTTAGAGATGAAAAATTGTTTTCTCGCACAGTTTGATCAGTATTGTATTTCGTATGCTGTTAATTTGTTGTTTCAGTGAGTTTCTAGGTGTTACACTATCATTTTCTTTTTTTGATTTTCAATTTCTGATTATTACATGGATTGAACTTGTGTGTGTATATGTATGGTCTTCTTCTCAGTTTTCTCTCACTAAGAATAAGAATGATGAATGAATCATCTCTCACTGGGCCATATGTATGTAGTATTGCTATCAAACTCTTGAGATTTTAATTACAATAAATGTGTTGTAGAGAAAGTTATTTGTCTTTTAGCGACCAAATATCATTGTCGTTAAAAATGTTATTATTCTGTTTTTTGCGACCAAATTGGGCCATTTTATGACGAAGTATTAGTGACCAAATGTTTAGTCTTGTAAAATCAAACATTTTGTGACAATATAAAATTGGTCGCTAATTGCCATTTTTAGTGACATTTTCAAAAATTCGTTGCTAAAGACTTTTCTAGACGCACTTTTAGTTACTTTTTTAGTGACAAATTTAATTTTGTCACAAAAACCATTTAGAGACTAAAATAATGGTTTTATTGACCAAAATAATTGGTTGCCAAAAGTCTTATATGTTGTAGTGAGAGTTCATTCGAATTCGGTTCATTAAATTTTTATTACGTTCAACTCGAACTCGTTAAAATCTTAATAAACAAGTCCAAATATACTAAAACTCGACTCGTTAGTTAGGCTCGTATAATATTTATTTAAATAATAGAATAAATATATTATTTATATATTGTAACTATATATAATATATTTATATAATAATAGTGATAGATATTATTATATTGGTAAAATATTGACTTTTCTTTTAGTACGTTTTTATATACAGAAAAGATTGGTAGCTTGAA